CTGACTTTAAAAATGTTACCTTACAGGATTTACCTGTTTCCCCACCCTTTACCAAAGCAGGTGTGATCTTTGTTCCTTCAAAGCAGACACACTCATTGCGTGACATTGCGGCCTTAGAAAAGGTGCAGCGTAGGGCCACAAGAATGATTCCTGGTCTTAGAGGAATGTCATACGAGGAAAGGTTAGTTGAGCTAAATCTGTTCAGCCTCAAGCAAAGGAGACTGAGGGGGGACATGATCCAGGTCTATAAGATTCTAACAGGTTTGGATGCTGTTCAACCGAATAGTTACTTCAGCATTAGTTCAAATACAAGAACTCGTGGCCATAGGTGGAAATTAGCGGGAGAACATTTCAAAGTGGATTTAAGGAAGCACTTCTTTACACAGCGTCAGAGCATGTGAGCGGAGTGGAGCGGTGAGAATTTCCGCTCCTCGCTCACTAGGCTGTTGACTCCGCCCGCTCCTCCGCTCTAATTCGAACTACGCCGCTCCGCTCAACACCGCTCCTCGCTTCACTAAAATTTCCTCCCGCTCCAGTGAAATCGCTCCACGCTCGCTCCAATTTAAAAGAGGGACAAATAATCTGCATGCCTAACAAATGTCACCTTAAAACGAAGCCTTATATCATAAAGACATATGAGCAACGGCAACATTGCCACTCAGAAAATATTTATTTTTAAGCAACATATATAGGCAACAACGGACACGCTTGGCAATGGCATTCCACACAAAAATAGGCTTAAAAATAAAGGAATCAATGGTCTTAATAGTCTAGAGAATATACAGGCTAAGCATCTACGTTTTAAATTCCTCAATTTTTTCTGTTGATGCTGCTGCTGCGTCTCTATAAAATAAAATTTCACGTAACAGCGTTACGTGAAATTTAAAACATCATATTAGACCTACTTTGAATGACAAAACGAATTTATTTGATTACCAATATTTACCAATATAGGCTTATATACTTTAATTTATAGACTTGATATACTACAACCATATAAAACTTGCTCACGTTTTGCTCTGGCTTCCGTCTGTTCGCATAAAACACTCGTGTTTCTGAGAAAAATGATTGCAAAGTGAATCTTTACTCACACTGAAACAGTTTCACCACCTTGTTATTCTTGCTCTACATTATTGTCATCTATACGTTTGATAAGAATATTACACTTGTATGATATCTATCAGTTTCCTTTGTGAAATACTTTGCGAATTCCATCTCGGCCAATTTCTGTAATAGTCTTGATAATTGTACAGATGAATTCTGAGTAGATTTGGGCACGCCTCAGAATCGTAGTGTGAGCGGTATCGGAGCGAAATTGGAGCGAGACAGAGCGACCGCTCCAGCCTTAATTAAAAAAAACCGCTCCGCGCTCTGACTAAATTCTGACCGCTCCGCTCCTCGCTCACGCTCCGCTTCGCTCACATGCTCTGCACAGCGTGTAGTCAGAGTATGGAATAGTCTTCCTGATAACGTAGTGCAAGCTGAATCCTTGGGTTCCTTTAAATCAGAGCTAGATAAGATTTTAACAACTCTGAGCTATTAGTTAAGTTCTGCCCAAGCGAGCTCAAATGGCCGAATGGCCTCCTCTCGTTTGTATAGTTCTTATGTTCTTATATTGTAAACATGGCTAAGAATATTTATAAAAAGGCATAACACATTATAGCCATGTATAGCCATTATGCTTTATGAATGCTCTATGAAGCTCTATGAAATACCTTCATAATGCATTATAATGCTCAGTATAAGCATTAAGGATGCTTTGTACTGCATTATGAATGTACTTCTAGTACATTATAGATGAGCTTCATAGAGCATTCATAATGCATAATAAACATGGCTTTTTATAAATAGTTATAACCGTGTTTATGAATGCATTATGAAGTTATCTATAATGCATTATACATGAGTGTTTTAAATAAAGTGTTACCTGTAAGTTAAATGCATATAAATTCTCATGGTGATCTCCCACTGGCCATGCATTCACAGGTTCCCACAGTGCCCCTGGTGTTAAAACTTCAGAATGGGGATCAAGGCTGCACTCCCCAAGTATGAGCTGTACCTGTACACCGCCGTGCTCTACATGGCCTTGTTCTGGGCTGCCAGCTGGATCCTGGAGGCGTCCAGCGGTGAGTGGTCCTAAGAACCTGCTAGATGTCTGGGCACCTGACAGGGGGGGTGTGTCCATCCAAGGGTGACCAATCAGAATGGTTTATTTAAATACAACACAGTGCACTAAATGTAACATATACATGCAGTGGCCAGTTTATAGGGTACACTTGCAAACTGCTTTGCCAAGTAGAGAATCATGTGACTGCATCTAAACACATACAGACAAGAAGCCTAGGCTTGGTTGGGTGTTTGAGTGACTAAGATGCCTTATCTAAGCCAGTGTTTCACAACCCAGTCCATGGGGAACCCCAGACAGTTCACGTTTTTGCTCCCTCCCAGCTCCCAGCCAATCGGGAACACTGAATACCTGGTACAGGTGTGCTGGGAGCTGAGAGGAAGCAAAAACATGGACTATCCCATGGGACTGGATTGGGAAACACTGATCTAAGCCGTTTTGAATTTTGATTGTTGAGACCGGATGTGGTGGTTAGAGCATCTCAGGAACAGCCACCTTCCGAATTTCGCACACTGGGTCTGGAGATACAGAGAATAGTGTGATGAACAAACAAATAGTATCCAGGTTGTTCTGTGGGTGAATAAATCGTGTTAATGAGCTAACAGGAAGGCCACATGTGGGAAAATAACAGCGAAGTCCAATGGTGGTGCGGAGAAAGGCTTCTCTGAATGCCCAACTCAGCTACTAGTTTTGGAAGCAAATAGGGGTCCTATCCGGTATTAGCTAGACGTACTTAATAAAGTGGCTGCAGAGTTTATATGATTATATACAGATAAATAAAATGGTCTTGAGAGAGCTGACTTTGAGGGCCTTGGTTAGTCAGGCTATAGGATGCATTTGATATGAAAATCAAATGATAAGCACGACTCATATCAACCAAAGTGTGTGCAGGGATTACCGATTGCAGAGCTGATTGCAGTGTGACAGGAGAGGATGTTTGCAAAGGACCAGGCACCGCTCTGCTAGGGCCAGGATATCATCTGGAAGGGACTGAAATACAAAGCATTGACAGTTTCTTTCTGATCTTATAATTAATAGAGAAAAATATTGTAATGAGTCACCTGCTTGTGACACTATGAGCTCAGTTGAGATTTCAGGCTGCACCTTACTGGAGTTAATGGGAATGGAGTGTTGCCGTATGAATGGGATTTTTGCAAGTATTTTTACATTTTATGTTAGGGCTCGATGGTGAGCCTGCAGTCAGACAGGCACTGGTAGATCTTATCAATGTAGGGTGACCTTGTATTCAGGCTGATTTCTCGGGGGACGTTAGTTTCGGATTTAACTACTGTGCTACTTTGGTTCACTTCCACATCAGGGACACGTTTTTTGCTTGCCGGTGCTGCTCCTCAGCCTGATCCGTCATTCCTGGTTCTTAGTTTGCATTAGAATTGGGGTATGAATAATCTGAAGCAAAAAGATGATTATAGCATTTGAAAGTTCACCGTGTTAGATTTAACTGTTTTAATGGCCACATGATGAGGATATACAAGACTGTTCGACAACAGTGTAAACAGACTATAAGAACTCAGTACTGTTTGCTTATCTGGTCTGACTATTTCGTTATGTTCCTTAAAGAAGGAACAAATATTTAGCATAATTTCTAAAGTTTTCAAAGTCCTGTCTGTAGAAAACAGCACTCAGAAATATAATACTTCTTTTTCAGGGTGTGAAAACAGTTGTGTTTTTAACTATTTTTGTAGTTATGCAGTTTCTCTACTCATGAAGTATATGCTTACTATTGGTTAATGTTTGCCAATAACTATACTGACTTATGTTAGGGAACCATTATATTAAAGTATGTATCACACAAAGATTTTCTCTTTAGAGCCTGAAGTTGGTGAATTTTCCCAGAATGCTTTGCAGCACATAAGGGAAAAGCTAGAGTAAGTGTAAGAGGCATGTGAGAAATGTAGCAGAGATCGGGTGTCCGTATTAATAAACTTGGCTGGGGGGGCGGGGCAGGGCGGAGGACCAAATGTAAAAAGCTCCCATCTACTTCATAAAAATTGACACCCTGCCATACAGATACAGATACTGTTGAATATAAATGCTGTATATTAAGGCTTCCTCTGTTAACTTTCAGAACACGTGAACAGGAAGACCTTCCGGGAGAATGTGAAGCCAGGATGGCATTACTTTGGCAGGAAGATGGTGAGCCAAGAGCAGCAGTGGGCGTGACCATGCACTGTCAATCACTGCCTGGGAATGAGAAGCAGCTTACACCAGTCGGGGACTGGCGGCACGCGATGACCCTGCCCACCGCCCGCCGATTAGCTACTCTTCTCCCATTACTGACCTCTAATCATGATGACATCCCTATGCATGGCTTGCATTACTGTACAGGACATTTTTAACAGGTTCCTTAAAACAGGGGTTCCCAAACTTTTCAGCTCACGACCCCCAAAATAACTGTGCCAGTGACTCGTGACCCCCACTGTCCTCAGAAGTGGTTAAAATATACAAATGTTGCGCGCAACGTGCACATGCGCGAATAGGCCTATCCAAACATGAGCATGACAACACAAAAGAACACAATGGTCTAACAACCATGTAATTTTTTTTAATAGTAATTTACTCATTTGTTTAATTTCAACAAAATATCCTATCCAAACAAGAGCATGACACCACAAAAGAACACAATGCTCTAACAACCATATAACTTTTTTTTAAATTGTTATTTACTCATTCATTTCATTTCAACAAAAATAATATCCTAAGCATAAAGCGATGAAAATTACCTACACGTTATGTGCACATGTCAGAATGTTTAACATGGTGCTGTAAATTCTGCTGCAACTGACGCTATTGATGTGTCGTTAATCTGTCGTAATCACCTCAGGGGTCGCGATCAAACGGAAAGAAATTTGAAAGGCTGATGGATTTTTAATTTGCATATTTTTTTAAATGTAACTATTAACTACTAGTTTTTATCTTTTGTTAGTTATGGATAAAATGTTAATATAAAATGTTAAAATGTTGATAAAATGTTATTTCTAATAGTTAAAAAAAAAAATATTTGATTTCTTGGAAATCATCTCGCGACCCCCCAGAGGGTCGCGACCCCTACTTTGGGAACCACTGCCTTAAAAGACCTATAAAAATCCTTTCTTTTTTTTTGGAAATCTCAGATTTTATTGCCGCAGGACTGATTTTACACAAGAGTCTGATTAAAGGAATGAACATGGGAAGGAAAGGGGACAATGGATTATCGGAGTTTCTAAATTGAGCTGATTTCTCATTCTTTGTTCCATTTCAAATGCATTTGCACACCAGGTCCTGATGAAGCTCAGGGGTTTTTAATGATTGAACTTTCTTTTATAGCTATGGGATTTTTCAAATCAATTTCGTTATTACAGTCAAAAACTACGCAATTACCGTTTTCCCTTTTATCGTGGTCTAACCCTGTCAATTCTATTTCACTGTAGGACGCAGCAGATTTTGAATGGGTAATGTGGTTCACCAAGTTTCGCAACTACATCCTCTTCGCCTTGTCCGGTCATGTGATCTTCGCAAAGATCTGCTCTATGCTGTCACCAAAGGTGGGTGCAAGGGCACTTTTGAGGTGACACCCTGTTAGACTGATGATTCGTGGACACGATTTACAGGAAGCGGCTCTGTGTAATACAGCTGCGTATGTGTTACATACCATTAAAAACCTCAGAAATTCCCCCAATGTTACACATAAAGAACAGAAACTCATATGAGACAGCAGCATCTTTGCATGTTTGTGTTAAAGGCATCTTTATTTATTTTTATCTTGCTGTCGAGGAAGATTGGTATTGATGGACGGAAGGTAACCTCCTAATCACACCTATGTTCATTTAGAAATCCGCCCCAGTGTAATGAAATTTAATTTCTAAATATTTCTCCGAATAAGAATGTCATTATTTCATAAAACGTCTGTCTTTTTCAATAACATGAGAAAAGCTTCAATAATCAAAAATCATAACAATATTGTCAGCTTTCTATCACATTTATGTGACACATTGGGTCGCTTTACTATTTCCATTTACTGTACATTAAAAATGTCCAGATGATATTTAGCATGACATTCAAGAAATGCAATAATTAGTGAAGGATCGATGGATGGTTGGATGGATGGATGGATGGATGGAGTAGTGTAAACAGAAGCTACATTGTTTCCACAATAAAGCAGCTAATTAGCATGGCAGTGAGTAACATGATAATGATGTCGCTCCTCCTCTTACAGCGCAGATCGCTAATTTACATGATCTATGGAGTATGTGCTGTCTTTGTAACCATGGGCTGGAGCTACGTCACCCTGGTGGTGTCTCACTGTGTGCTGCTCTACACGGTGTCCCTCGTCAAGCGCAAGTGGCTCTGCTTTGTGGCGGGTCTCACCAGCCTGGCCACCTTCAAGATGGAGCCTCTCGTGACCTGGCAGGTGGGTCACATGTGTACGGACGCCTGACTCGCTGTGAGCTTTGGGCTCTGAGAATCCGGGCAGGGCCATGGCGGGGTAGGTAGGTCCTGTGACAGAAACATCACTTTGATGTTCCAAGCTTTCCAGACGAGAGAGAGACCTCATACTATGTCACACTGGTATCATACTGATTTTTCACACTTTCTGAAACCTGGCTTGTGTACTAACCCATTGCCTTTGCTTCGATGTCCTACAGTCCGGATTCGTCACAGGAACTTTCGAGCTTCAGGATATCCTCTTCTATGGCGGTTGTGGGTTCAGTATCATGCGATGCATGAGCTTTGGCTTGGAGAACTGTGAGAGGAAGAACGGGAACTACAGCTTCCTGGACCTGCTCAAGTATAACTTCTACCTCCCTTTCTTCTACTTTGGACCTATCATGACCTTTGATCAATTCCACCTTCAGGTGAACCTCGAGCCCACAGGCATCTTTTCCATTAAAACTTGCCACTGGTTTAATGCCTACATTAAACCAGTGTCACGAAGAGTCTTGGATAAAATTTACAAAAAATACAGATACCGGATATTTACATACACTTCAGAAAAAAATACAAAAACTTTTTTTTCTTTAAGGTCCAACATTAAATCAGAGTAAACTTTTTCTGTTTCAGATCAATAAATATTAACATATTTTTTGCATTTGTTAAATGTCAGAATAGAGAGAGAGAGAATTTTATTATTTTATTATTTATTACTTTCATCAGTCAAACATTTACACACACTTCATTAGTATTTGGTAGAATTGCTCTGAAACTGTTTCACTTGGGCCAAACGTTTTGGGTATCCTTCCACAAACTTTCTACAATAGTTTGCTGGAATTTTGGCCCACTCCTCTTGACAGAACTGGTGTAACTGGGTCAGGTTTGTAGGCCTTCTTTTCAGTGCCGCCCACAAATTTTCTATGGGATAGCGATCAGGGCTTTGTGATGGCCACTCCAATACCTTGACTTTGTTGTCCTTAAGCCACTTTGTCACTAATTTGGAGGTATGCTTGGGATCATTGTCCATTTGGAAGACCCATTTGCGCCCAAGTTTCAACTTCCTGCCTGATGTCTTCAGATGTTGCTTCAATATATCCACATAATTTTCTTTTCTCATGATGCCATCTATTTTGTGAAGTGCACCAGTCCCTTCTGCAGCAAAGCAGCCCCACAACATTATACTGCCACCCCCATACTTCACAGTTGGGATGGTGTTCTGAGGCTTCAAAGCTTCCCCCTTTTTCTTCCAAATATAACGTTTATCATTATGGCCGAACACTTCAATTTTTGTTTCATAAGACCACAGGACATGTCTCCAGAAATTAAGAGCTTTGTCCCCATGTGCAGTTGCAATCTGTAGTCTGGCTTTTTTATGATGGTTTTGAAGTAATGGCTTCTCCTCCCAGAGTAACCTTTCAGCTCATGTCAGTACAGGACTCGTTTTCCTGTGGATAATGACACTGTCTTACCAATTTCAGCCAGCATCTTCACAAGGTCTTTTGCTGTTGTCCTGGGGTCGATTCGCACATTTCGCACCAAAAAACATTCCTCTCTGGGACTCAGAATCTGTCTCCTTCCTGAGCGGTATGAGGGTTGTACATTCCCATGTTTTTTTTTTATACTTATTATTATCTTATTATACATATTATTGTCTGAACGGACGAATGTGGGACCTTCAGGCATCTGGAAATTGTACCTAAGGATGAGCCACACTTGTTGCACAGGTCTTTTCCCGATGTCTTGGTTGATTTCTCTTGATTTTCCCATAATGTCAAAGAAAGAGGCTCTGTGTTTGAGGTGTGCCTTTACATGCATCCACAGGTGTGCCACATATTAACTGAAATGGAATCAATTAACCTATCAGAAGCTTCTTAAGCTCAGAATGGAATCATCTGGAGTTTTCTTTTTGTTTAAATAAACAATAAACGTAGTGTATGTATACTTCTGACTTTGATGAAAGTGAAAAAAAAATACAGAATAATTCTCTCTATTCTGACATTTAACAAATGCAACAATATGTTAATATTTATTGATCTAAAACAGAACAAGTTTACTCTGATTTAACGCTTGACAGTAAAGAAAAAAAAGTTTTGTGTTTTTTTCTGAAGTGTATGTAAATATCTGGTTTCAACTGTATAGCAATATTTTTTTATAAAACATTACATGTACAGGAAGTCCCCAGGTTATGAACAAGATCCGTTCCCTAAGTCCGTCTTTAAGTCAGATTTTTAAATGAAGTGAAAATGATTAGTTGTCATTATTGACACACCACAGCAGACAACAACAAAATATGTCCTCTCTTGGGGCTGGTACCTTACTCAGGGTACCTCAGTTGTACCTTGCTGGTCAGGGATTAGAACAAAACAACCTTTCAAGCGCAAGCACACTGCCCTAACCATCAGGCCACCACCGCCCTGCATTTCCAGCTAACTCAGACTAATAATAAGAATATTGTACATAATAATAACAATAATAATACAAGTGGTACTGTACTGTACCTCGAGCCGACAGACCATTGAAGCTGTGCAATGTTTTCACGAGCGTTACAAAGTAGTGCATGTGTTCACTATTATGATCCATTCTATTTAAGCCAAATTTTTTTATATAATACGCTTTATGGCAGCATGCTTGTAAATATAAGCTGTCCGTATGTCAGATGTTCTTAACCTAGGGACTGCTCATATAGTAAATTTAATTTTTGATCAAAATGCTCACAAATGAAACAGGCTGTTGTCGTCACCCTCCTGTTGTCTTGTTTGCATGTGATTCCTGCAGGCTAACAATCCTGACTTGACCCGTAAGCAGTGGGAGATGTGGAACATCACCAAGCAGGCTCTGGTGCACTTGGGGGTCATTGTGGTGGTGGATGTCTTCTTCCACTTCTTGTACATCTTGACCATACCTTCTGACATGAAACTGGTGAAGCAGCTGTCAGACTGGTCCCTTGGTCAGTCACTGTCACGGTCGCGGTCACGGTCACGGGGGTACACATTTCTGGTGGCCTTCCGATCATACAGAGAAAAGACAAAGCCACAAATTGCAACTATGAATAACAGAATTTCCACAGTACTGAAAAACAAAGCAATATAATTAATACATTGTGGAGAAAAATGATTACCCATAAACCACAAGTAGACTCAACAATTACACAAAATTCATTCTATCAGTGATGTTTATGCAAGGATTTATTGACACAATATTGATTAAACAGTGACCAGCTCACTTTCTAATTTTGTTCTCCTTAAATGCCTAGCTGGCTTGGCGTACTCTAACCTGGTGTATGACTGGGTGAAAGCGGCTGTGATGTTTGGTGTTATAAACACGGTGTCTAGACTCGATCATCTCGACCCTCCCAAGCCGCCCAAATGCATCACGATGCTATATGTTTTCGCTGAAACGTAAGTAAACACCAACAAGTTTGAACCAAGCCAATTGTTTAGAGGTCATGATAGTTTAACTACACAAAAATCAACTTAATTATCACTTGTGCATTTCTAACTCATTTTGAATCATCTGCAACATGTCTGTAGAATTCAACACAATCCAGGGAAACACAAATTAACTAGGAATTATATGAGAAAATTGATCCCATCTCAGACAATTCCTTCTATCCATCCATCCATCCATCAATCCCAGGCAGCAAAGGTACACCCAGTATGTGATACCAATCCTTTGCAGGACATAGACACACAAACAGCAATTTAAGGATTGTGGGGGCGACTGGGCCAGTCGCATTCCCACTTATAATTAAAGAATTTGGTTTAAGACTAAAAGCTTCCTCTGTGCAATGTGATGAAAGTAGAACTAATTCTCTGTTTTGTTTACAGGCATTTTGACAGAGGAATAAATGACTGGCTTTGCAAGTGAGTGCTCAGGCTTGCCCTGAAGTGATCCCTCTCCACATAGTCTAAAGCCCACAAACTCACTCTGTAGTACATATTTAAACGTCTTATGCGATATGAGGAGTATATATATAAATTGGAGCTGCAGGTTGAGTGACGGCCTTATCCTCAACCACAGATACGTCTACGACTACCTGGGCAAGAACCATGACAGCATCTTCAGAGAGCTCCTGGCCACAGTCAGCACCTTTGCCATCACCACCCTGTGGCTGGGACCCTGTGAGATCGTCTATATCTGGTCTTTCTTCAACTGCTTCGGCCTCAACTTTGAGCTGTGGGTGGCCAAGTTCTTCTCTCTTAGGCCCTTTTCCACCATAGAGGTAAGGTGGCCAACCTCAAGCTCCATAGACATATTCTTCTGAGAACAACTGTGAATATAGACCATAAAGAATGATGATGCAGTACATTTATTTGTTCTTCAGCATGGAGTGTAACCTTCAGGGCCATTGCAATGACTACCTTTGGAAGAGAGTCTAGAGACTCATGGTGGAATTCTTATGCTCACAGGGTGCTATGTCTGAGGCCATGTCTCGTAGGATCAGGGGCATCTTCAACGCTGCTAACTTCTGGCAAATCATCCTGTACAACGTCCTGTCCCTTAACAGTCTGGAGTTCGCCAAGCTTGTGGGCACAAGATTGGTCCTCAAAGGTAAGGCCACAACGTGATAAAGCCTTTTTGTTTGCTGGGTGGGTGGAGGGGCACGGAAAGCAGGTGGGGCCACCTGAACTACATGGGCCTTTTTAAAAGGTAAGGAAGGGCCACTTACAGCCATGCTGTTCCCATCAGGCTTCCCGGTGTCCACCCTGTCTGTGCTGTTCGTCACCTACTGTGGGATACAGCTGATTAAAGAGCGGGAGAGGAGGCTTGCCTTGGAGGAGGAAGCTGCGGAGGCCGACGCCCTGAAGGAGGAAGCTAAGGAGAAAACCGAGTAAAAACGGCCAGGCTCCCCAAGCACCCCTAGGTGTGGACTCCCTCGCACCTCCTCCTGGGAGCTCCGCCCAAAGCCTCCGCCTCTGCTCATGGTATTACTTTCGAGAGGTGAATGACCCCAAAGTGCACTTGCTGTAGATAAACGCCACAGGCTCATCTAACACACCTGTTTACTGATTTAAATACCCCCCCCCCCCCACCCCACCACAAAAAAAA